TTGTCTTTGAATGAATGGCCGTGTGGGCAGTTATATAGGTCCACATTGTGTTCCCACTTTCCTTTTCTGGATATGATTACATTTTGCGAGTTTCCATTTTATTTGTGGGTAGTTTTTCATTGTTGGGTGTAGAGCTTATTGGCGTACTTAGTAACGAGTTAAGAAATTAAAGGTGGAAAACTGTGTCGGTGAAAAAGTTTTATGTGAGCTTTATTACAAGTGTGTGCTAATGCTTCTGATGTAGTCAGATGTATTTTTACTATCTCGCAATTGGATTTATATCCATTTTGCATACTCTCAATGTTTGGATATTTTCATTTTTTTCGTTGTCATGTATATTAAGTTCATAATATAATGCTCATTGTCACAATTTACTGGCTTGTTGCTATAAACTCGTTGAATATTTTATTTTGGCTGTGTTTTGGCCTTAGATGTCTAAATGTGCAAACATATCAGTTACTTGCTTTTCCATTACTGTGTTCTCTTATAATGTCTTTTTCATTTCCCGCAGACCAAGTGGTGCCCAGCCCCAGATTGTGAAAATGCAGTAGAATTTGAACTTGGAAGCAACGTTTATGACGTTAAATGCTTATGTTCGCATGCGTTTTGTTGGAATGTAAGTTTCAGCTGAATGATTTGCAGCCTTTTACCCCCTCCCTTTATGAAAGGAAGATGGCCTGTTCTCTATTACAAGGAAAAAACTGGTTTTAATAGTTATGTTTTTTTGCTGTTACCATGAACTACTATGCTGAATGAGTTATTTCATTTAGGATTGAACGAGTTATGCTTCTGTCCAGACAACTGGTTATGCTTTGGCGAGGGAAAAAATGAGTGGAAAGCATCTGTTGTTTACGTTTGTAACTTATTATTGTATTATCTTATTTTTAATGATTTAATTGCAACTGTAAGCTCTAAATTTATTTTGGAGAATTATTAGTTTTCCTAAATCAAAGTTTCTCTTGGTGGAAATTGAATTGGGCGACAATTATTTACAGTGTACAGAGGAAGCTCATCGTCCTGTGGATTGTAGCACTGTGGCTAAATGGATTTTGAAGAATAGTGCAGAATCTGAAAATATGAATTGGTATGGCTCTTTTTGTGGTGGTTTTAAATGTCCCTGGTGCTTGCTGTTTTGAGAATATTTTTGAGTTTAATTTCAGTCATTACTTCTGTATGGTTTATTATCATCTTAATTGACCAACTAATGAACAAGATGCAAGAAAAGGGTGGAAATGTCATATACATTCCATCTCTTACATGTATTGACTATTTACGTGGTGTTTGCGTGCTTCATATTTTTCAGGATTCTGGCTAATTCAAAGCCTTGTCCGAAGTGCAAGCGTCCAATTGAGAAGAATCAGGGATGCATGCATATGTCTTGCACCCCACCATGCAAGTTTGAGTTTTGCTGGTAAAGAATAATTAAGTGTTGATATTGTAAACACTAACTTGTGCTGGAATCACATCTGTTTTTATTTTGAATGCTTATTTTTTTGGTTGAGGTTGATTGATCATTATTTTTCTATTGTTTATTGGATTAAATCGTGTTGCCTTTCAGGCTATGCCTTGGTGCTTGGTCTGATCATGGTGAAAGGACGGGTGGTTTCTATGCATGTAACCGCTACGAAGCTGCAAAACAAGAGGGATTGGTAATGGAGCCTGCTGATATACGATTGGCTATAAGATTTTATATTTATCTCTATGGTATTGTTAATGATATTTCCATATACACCTGCATGTTTCTGTAGTATGATGAATCTGAAAAGAGGAGGGAAATGGCAAAGAATTCTCTGGAGAGATATACACATTATTATGAACGATGGGCAAGCAACCAAACAGTAAGGAGTATTAGATTCTTCTGGTCATTTGTTGGTTCTAACTTGGTGAATATTAGAACAATGTCTATGTGGTATAATTAGTACCCTATGTATCTCTGGTTTTGCATTGCAATACTTTTGAAGGACAAAGCTTTATTAAAGTTCTTAAATTGAACTTGTTGGTACACTATTTTTGTTTATATACGTGTCTGTGCTTTCCTTTTAACTGGCAGACTGATAAATTATTTTGCGCCCTTAAGTACTTAATTACTTTGATTGGTGGGTAAATGGTGAATGTTTGTTTCTTGTTGCAGTCAAGGCAAAAAGCTATTGCTGATTTGCATCAAATGGAAACTGTCCATGTAAGATTTTATTTTTATATTATAATTTATTATTTTATGTAATATTGTTTTTTCCCTCATCCTGTTATCCTGATGCGCTCTCTTATGGTCTTCCTTTTTTTTTTTCCTGAACTCTTGAAAGGTTGATTGTAGCCTAACATAGGTGGAGTGTTTTTCTTGCTTAATTTGTATAGCTGTACTTCTGAATTCTGATTGTTATGTACTGCTAGATATATCTTACATTGAGAGTATTACATGGCTGTTGTTTTAACTTGTTTCATACTTTGATACTGTGCTGGAATTGCCTATCTATTCTTGTAGCTATTCAATATCCAATGATAACCCTATCCTTAGATTTGTTATCTGGCTATGCCTAGTTCCTATATATAAAAAAAAAAAAAAAAACTGAAGGTATATTCTTTTATCATCTTCGTGGTTTGATTATCTTGTTGATTAGTTTGAAATCTTATGGCTTATTAGAAAGTATTCTTGGCAAATGTGGTAAATTGAATTTCTACTTGACTATTAATATCTCAACATCAAACCTCCTAGTCAGTTCTATGTACTAGTAACTATCTTTCTCTAAGATGCTTGTTTGTGTTAAAGCCAAGAATTGTTGTGAATTGTGTTAAGAAAAGCAGATAAGATTATCTATGTTTTTAGTTTCTCGAACTAGTGCAATACAGAGGTTTCTGTTCTCTCGAGTCTATGTGCCTTTACTGTCGCTATTAAATCCTCCCTTACCTTTTTGTGTCCTGGATCTATTAGTCTTCTTGATGAGCTTGAGCTTAAGTCAGGTTAAAATCATTCTGATCTTGGACAGTATCTTTACTGATAGCGTTGCACTGACATTGGGTTTTTCTAATTATTTGCAGTTAGAGAAGTTGAGTGACAAACTGAAGGAACCTGAGTCGCAACTCAAATTTATTATAGAGGCTTGGCAACAGGTAAATTATGGAATAATGACTTCATTCCCTGTCACCTTTTACACCTTTTGTAAAGAAGCAACGTGAAGGGAAAGAAAAGGAGGAGAGATGTACAATGGGTGTGCTAGCTTCTTGTTCTTGTCACCCTTGGTCATGTTTGATGCATCTTGTTCTTGTCACCCTTGGTCACGATTGATGCATCTGAGCATCTTTTTTCCTGTTTGTTGTTATTATTACAATTTTGTTTTATGCAGATTATTGAGTGTAGACGAGTGCTGAAATGGACGTATGCATATGGTTATTATTTACCGGAGCATGAAACTGCAAAGAGGCAGCTGTTTGAGTATTCACAAGGTAAAAACCGTACCCTAAAGCATTGTGGAACTGGCTGTTCCAAGGGAAATCAAAAAGACTGACTGCTCCACCTAACTTTTGCTACTTGTAGGTGAGGCTGAGGCTGCTCTTGAGAGGCTTCATCAATGTGCGGAGAAGGAATTATTAGTTTTCCTTGGTAATGACGATGGTGAGGTTGAAACTCAACCAGATTTTGAAACATTTCGGCCAAAGTTGGCTGGATTGACCAGGTAACCATCTCGCATCAGGCTGTAGTGGTTGTGATTTATACTTCTGTAAGACTTGTCTGATACATAGATAAAATCATGAATTGCAAAGTCATTTTAATCTGGTGTATCAGTATTGCTTGTAGCATTGCCATTGCAAACTGCTCGTTGACTATGATATTAGCAGTTAGTGAGGATAGAGGATTACCTTCATTGATGTTTATGTCTTTTTCGGCGTGCAGATAATTAGTCTCAGTGGACACTGTTCTTGAAAAATCCCACTAGTGAGACTGAGTTATAGTGTATGACTGTATGATAGAGGTCTGATGTAGTCATTATTCTAGACTACTACTATGTTTACCAAAGGGGTACCTAGTTGAGACTTGGTCCTTATTTTTTTTTTTTTTGAAATCTTTCTATGTAGCATGCAATTCCGTCACCCCATAGACTTGAAAAGGAAGAAGTAATAATTGCTTCTGATTATGTTGCTCTGCTATTAGTTTCCTGCATCTGTATCATATGTTTGACCTATGTCTATTGTCATACCATTCTATGCATTTTACGAACCTTTCCGAAAGCTGAAATTGTTATTGATATAATCTCAAATTTCTACAGGGTTACCCGTTCATACTTTGAGAATTTAGTCAGGGCATTGGAAAATGGTTTATCAGAAGTTGATTCTCAAGCAGCTTCCAGCACATCAGTTAGCTCAAAGAATGCTGGAGCCAAAGGAAAAGGGGGAAAAGCAAAATCTTCATCCTCACGAAGTAGTCGTACTGGTACCAGAAACATAGACGATGTCAATCATTGGAACTGTGAACGGTGTACTTATGCAAATCCTGAGTCCTCCACTCTATGTCAGATGTGCCGTAATCCTCGGTAAAGAGAAGAAATCCATTATCAAATGGATTACTGTTTTGAAGGTGCACAGGATGGGCAGTGAGTTTTGGATAGGCAGTCTGTGTCCGATGGCATTACATTGTCTTGGATATGGTGGATGTGTAAAATAGCATTCCCCTTGATTTGTGCATGTATTGAAGAGACTTGTAAATATTATCTTATTGATGATGCTCATCGGATATTAGATGCATCATTATTATATCATAATTATAATCATAGCGCAATGTTAACCAACAAGAAGGGCTTTTATCTTTACAGGGAGCCATACAAAATCTTTGGTGTATTCATGGGTTGGCCTTGACTTATACTGCTTTATGCTGTTTTTTCTGGCTAATGGTCTTGAAATTTGAGTTGCCCAATTGGTGATCAATGCTGTCTATTGCTGTTGTTTTGCTCTTATTTTTGGTTAATTCTAAAAAACTTGGGTGCCTTCATAATCCCAGATAAGCTGAAGATTGAAATAGCTTAGCTGATTCATGGGAGGCCAATATCAAATTTATTTATTTATTTTTTCTGCTGTATTGCCTTTTGCTCAGTGATGGAGTTATATTAGTAATTTTTCTGATATTTGTCCTCATTTTTATCATCTTTTATCATCAATGATTGTATAATTTGTATCAAGTCCAATATTTCAAACTTGGTAGTCAAATTTGCTGAAGTCTCTTTGTTTTTTATGGGTATTCGTATTTTCTTCAACTTTTTCCTGCGAAAATTGAAAACGATTTTATCGAATTTTGTATTTACTGCTTTATTAGCCTTTTAATAGAGTTGCCTAAAGGAAGGCAAAAGGCTTACTGGTATAAAAGTTTTAAGTAAATTGTGTGAAAACTAATGTTTATGCTGGTTCAGCTCTGTCATTGTGTTTTGTCTAAGCAAAAATACGGATTTAATATTACCGCCATAGTCGTCTGCTGGTCTATAGAAAAGAATTAAACAAAACTTCGAAGTATGGTAATTCATGTTCTACGTCAAGTCAATGCCATTTTTATTATACCTATTGTAGTAATGTTTTCCTGCAAACCACATTGTCTGTGCACTGTTTTCAAAGATGACATCCCCATTGACATTCAAGAAAGTCGCGGTGATCGGTGCTGGCCCTGCCGGTTTGATGGCGGCACATATGCTTAGAAATGAAGGTCTAGATGTAGTGGTGTTTGAGCGTGCTGCTCAGTTGGGTGGTTGCTGGGTTTACTCGGCTGAGGTTGAGTCTGATCTGCTTGGACATGACCCAACTCGGAAAATTGTTCCCTCAAGTGTGTATGCTTCTCTTCGCACAAATTCTCCTAGAGAATCTATGGGCTTTCGTATTTTTCCATTTGTTCCTACTGGTAATGATCTTTTCTTCCTTGCTTTAAAATTTGTTTTTTCATATTTTTCATAATATATTCTATATAATCAACGTGTACTCCTTCCAATCCATTCCTTTTTAGTTTTGACCGGTATAGAGTTTTAAGATAATTAGCTTTGTAGATAGCATTATGGGACATGAAACTTGCATTGTGTAATATTTATATGTGCAAAGCCCTTCGAGAGTTGGAGATGGTTCTTCTTGTAGCTTTTGACTTATGTGAATTCTGCAGGAACTTTAGATTTTAGGATGGAAAATAGTGTATTACATAATGGAGGGTAGCCTGACTAGCCTCTATAAGACTATAATATGTACTTTCAAATACATTATGATTTATGAGGTTCCATGACTGATTTCCTGGACTAGTCTTACTGTTAATGGTGTGTAATTTTCCTTTATAGGCAAAGTCGGCAGAGATTCACGAAGGTTTCCAGGGCATCAGGAGGTGCTGAGATACTTGGAAGATTTTGCTTATGAATTTGGACTGAATAAATTGATTTGTTACCAGACAGATGTGAGGCATGTTGGGCTGGAGACGGATGGAAAGTGGATGGTGAAATACAGGAGAGTTGGGGGAGACAAGGGCAGCGATATGGCTGAAACTTATGATGCTGTGGTTGTCTGCAACGGACATTACACTGAACCACAACTTGCTGATAATATTCCTGGTAATTATATGTACTAGAATGTGGATTTATATTTGCATCAATAAAAAAAAAATTGGTGGTTATTTTTTGTAGAGTAGATACTCCATAGAAATTTTAGTATTTGAGTTTTGGAGCACTGTGGTTAAAATACTCTTAACCACATATAGATTGCTATAGTTGGTTCCTTCTAAAACTTTTGAAAAAAGCTATTGCATTAAAAGTTCAGCCTTTTATTGTTGTGTTGTTTGAGGGTTGGGAGATAACAATCACTTTTTTTTTTCTTTTTTTGAAAGAGGGAGATGACGATCACTTAATTCTATTTTTATTGAAGAAAATCACTTTACTTAATGCAATTGTCCACTTTAACGCTATGCAACAACAAAATGAATATCGATTGTTCCATTGGCAATAGTGTTAGACAACACATCTTTTTTTTGAAATCTTGTACAGAGTAGTAATTTTAGAGAATGATTATGTGATTTTCTATCATTGATACTTCTTATGCTGAGTAGCTGACAAAACTTGAAGTTTGTGAATAACATACAAGCTAAATCTGACTATAAAAATTCTCCAAGTGTAGCCAATACATAAACAATCTTACACGTCTGTGAATATTAAATTTGCTACATACTTCTATATTGGTTATGATGCTTGTTAGTTATTGATAGATTTTTCACCGATACCTTCTGCAGGCATTGACCTTTGGCCAGGGAGGCAAATTCATAGTCATAACTATCGTGTTCCAGAACTTTATCAAGACCAGGTGTGTTTCTGATTTACTTGTTCGTATTCATAATTTAGATGCCCAAATGCACGGAATGCAATGTTTATGTGTGATAATTAATGTTGTATATTGGATTTGATTTCTGCCTACACTTATATATAAACTTCCACAAGGGAACTATTTACTCTCCTTGCAAAGTTTGTATGGTTTTCTTTGAATTGTCTAATATCCTTTGTTTGTCTAATAATATTGTCTTCTTGCTTCCATCAGGTTGTAGTTTTGATAGGGCATGCTTCTAGTGCTGTCGATATCTCTAGGGATATTGCTGGATCAGCCAAAGAAGTTCATGTAACAACTAGGTCTGAGGCAGCAGGAAAATTGGCCAAATTTGGAAAGCATCCTGTTTATGATAACTTGTGGCTTCATCCAATGGTAAAACTACTCAACAAAAGTCCATTGTTCATTTGTTTGTCCCTTATTCTAGTATGAGTTCTAAAACGCATTCTTCTTCTGTTATGCAGATAGAACAAGCCCATGAAGATGGTAGAATATCGTTTCAGGATGGGAGTGTGGCCCTTGCAGATGTCATTATCCATTGCACTGGGTATTTTGATTAACCCAAAACTTTTTTTTTTTGGGTTAAGCTATAGAGACTAGAGGAGAGTCGACTATGGATAGATGCAGATGAATTCAAAATGCATCCCCTAGATATTGTAGCATTGTACTAGCTACACTAGTTAACGTCTGCACAACTAATGGATAATTACTGATGGACTGATGGGTCATATGTCAGGTACAAGCAACATTTCCCTTTTCTTCACACTAATGGTGTTGTAAATGTTGATGATAATCGTGTCGGGCCTCTTTACAAGCATGTGTTTCCTCCTGCATTAGCCCCAGGGATCTCCTTCATTGGTGTGCCATTTTATGTAAGATTTCTTTTGTTGGTGTTATATATACTTTCTACCTTCTAGGGAGATATAGTTTTAATCAGTAGATAGCTAAAGACATTGACCAACTCGTTTCAAATTTCATGCTAGGTTGACCCATTCTTCCTTTTTGAACTTCAAAGTAAATGGGTAGCAGGTGTTTTATCTGGGCGTTTATCACTTCCGTCTGAGGAAAAAATGATGGAAGATGTAGAAGCCTTCTACTCAGAATTGGAAGCTAAGGGAATTCCAAAGCGCTTCACACATAGGATCCATGATTTTAAGGTAAATTTTACTCGAGATGAGTGATTTACTTTTGTATTTGCATTCATGTACTCACTAACTAACAAATTGTGAAAAATAATTTTTTTAAAATTAGATTAAAGGGATTACTCTAAGCTCCTTCGAGTTTAACAAGGAAAGCCATTGTAACTAAGTTGACAGCTTAGTAAACCATTGTGTATGGCTATCAGCATCATGTATTCATGTTAGAAACATTTTTGCAGGGGTCTACATATGGCCTGTAAAATAATGGGAACAATGTGAGTATGAATTGTGTTTAACAAGCTGGTACAGAATACTTTTAGGAACTTTGTGGTTAATTTTGGAGAAATGTATACTGCTAACTACTGACCAGCTAGCCTTTCATGTCTAATTTCGCAACCTAGGGAACAAGTTTGAATGGAGGATTGATAAATCAATTCTCTAGGGATTAATAATTTGATCCACTCTAGAGTTTATTTTGTTGAAATTGACTTCAATGTTGGATCTCCACACAGCAACTCTCTGGGTGGTCATATGAATACGAGGATTGGCTTGCTTCAGAATCTGGCTGCCCTCCTGCTGAGGAGTGGAGGAAGGGAATGTATATTGCGTCAGTAGACCGTGCGTTTAAACAAACAGAGACTTTTCGTGATGAATGGGATGATGAAGACTTGGTCCTGCAAGCATACAAAGATTTTATGCAGTATTTGTCTGCTGAAGGCAGAGTCACCGTTGCTGCTTCAACACTAAGATAACTGTATTTCATTGATAAGAAATTATTTTATTTCTGATTCTATTGGTTTGAGTTGCAAAGCCCAAGCACCAAAAATAATATGTACTAATAGCGATAATTCTTTATTGGTGTACAGGACCTGTATCGATAAATTGTGTTGTTTTCTTTGATAATCTGCTACGATCAGATCCTCAACTTAGTTCCATGCTTTGAAATGCTGTGTATGTTGCGTGATTATTTGAAGCTAGAGGAAAGTTAGATCAAATCAGATAATCAAACGTAAACATGGTTGCTCAAGATTAGCCACTGAGCATCGTAATAATTAGAGAAAACGGGTACAACAAAGTAAATATCCTCACACAAAATCTACAAAATCATATTCCCCTAGTTCCTAGAATCATGTATCTTATTGATTTGCGCATGTCTTAGCCGTTTAAAAGAGTTTGTTAAATGAAGGCAAATTGTTTACTCTTATGACATTCACATTCTGAGTAAAAGTATGAATTAGATATTAAATTAATTGGTTAATCGAATTTCAATACATGAGAAATACAAATTCCTGAAAAATAAACGTTTGAGTTGTTTGGCTAGCATGACTGCATGAGCATGCTACTATGCTAACCACCTTAGAACTCTCAACTTCAAATTCAATAGAACAGTTGTCATAGATGCATGCAACCAATTTACCACTAAATTATCTTGTGCAAATGTGAATGAAGAGATGGAGGGTTCCATCTCCCCCAAGTGGTTGGAGGTTTGATTCATGTGATAGGATGGAGGGTTCACTCGTATATTACTGTGTAAAAAAATAAAAAATTGTGACCATTGTGTGAATGATTCAATAAATTTGGTCAAGGTTTGTCCCAAATAGACAAATAGTCTACCTGAATAAATTACTACTAGCATAGTGCCCGTGCGATGCACGTTTTATAAATCAAATTATTAAACCCGTAGGGAAAAAAAAAAAGGTAATTCATTTACTATTAAAGGACTTGGTTACTAATGGTCAATAAAAAAAAAATTAAAGGAACGTTATTTGAATAGTATTTTATGTGATTTGAATTTCTTTTAATTTTTTATAATGTTATTTTATTAATTGAAAAATAATTGAATAATACCCCACATAGCTATATAAGAAGTTGACTAATTTATTTATATCTCCTGCTGAGAAAAAACTAAAATTTTCTTATCATACCAATCTACTGGAGGAGCAGTATTGAAGGCTATAATAAATACAGAAGTTGCAGTCAATAAGGTAGGGATCATATATTGAATATTTGACGATACATTCCGTACCTTGCTAAAAAACCAAAATTCTTTATTTTAATTTTCTCTACCCATCTATCTATAAAATAGATGGGGTATATCGCAGGATAACCAGCGAAATACCTTATGTATGTGCCATGATCTCAGCTAGGAATGAATAGCTTTGAATGGAAGCCCCAGTAAACGGCGGCAGTAACTCTAACTGTCCTAAGGTAGCGAAATTCCTTGTCGCAGGTCTTTCGCTGAACCCTCTTCGAAAGCGGCATGATTGCCGCGGGTTGTGGCCCACCCGACGGACTTCCCTGGATGTAGTCAGCGTTAGTACCCGACGACATTCAGGGATGGATGTAGACCCATCGAGCGCGAGTTGTAAGGGGTATTGGTCTCGAGTCGAGAAAAAGCTTCATCTCATTCTTGTAACGGGAGTCCTCGAATATAGGCCTCAGCCGTAACCGACCGGTTACCGCATCAGTAGCTACAATCAATCTAATATATACATGTTTTATTTACCCGTCGCACTCATTAAATCTATAGACACAATAATAACCTTATATTTGACCTACCAGAACATATATTTTCCTAAGTTAACCATTGTGCCAAAACATATACTTCCTCCGTTCTATTAATATTGCAACAATGGACTTTTTGCACTATTCATCACTGTTGTTTGACCATATAATATGAGTTATACGTTAAGCAAAATATAGTCAAGTGGGATCATGTTGGATTAGTCTCATATAATACTTTCACAATATCAACTTTTTATAATTTTTACTCTTACACAATTATAAATATTTAGCATATAAAATGTGTTTTGGGATGCGTAATTTCCTCCTTGTTGCAATATTAACAGAACGGAGGAAGTATATATTATATAATAGTCACATATATAACCAACAGCTGATTAAATATAGTATACAACACAAATACTTCGTATATAGGTATGGATACTGATAATTTTATATAAATAAAATATACGGAGTATATATTACTAAGATTTATCCCTACCTTAATTATAAAAAGGTTAACAAAACTCTTATAATAGTGCATGGACATTTATATATCTAAAAATGTTCTTTTTACATATATTTTCCTCCATTTAATTTTAAAAGCCTTAAAATTGTCTCTTGAATTTGCTAAATTGATTTAAAAAGTTATGTTTATTTCAATATTTAAAGCCATTTACTATTTTCATTTCCTTTTGTTTTAATTTTTCTATTTAGAATTTATTAGACTATTAGGTTTCAAGATCGAAGTCAATATCTTTTTACTGTACAATCACTAAATCAAAGTCGCTCACACTAAAGTTTTGGACATTGCATAGCTACACAACATCCAACACATTTATTGATTATATGCAAATAATTTTAATAAAACTACGCATTCGATATAAGTTATTAAACAATTTAACTATATATACATTTTGATAGGTTTATATCTTTCATATTAACAAAAATTTACAAATGGTATTATTATATTTTGAAAAAAAATTTAGACTTTGGAGTTTTGTATAAGATAGATAAAGGATAAGTTAATTCCCGTCATGTATGCATTGAGTTTTGGGTGTTCTATCCGGTTCACCCTTTGGGCTAATCCAGATTTGAGGACCAGTTCTAGGTTATTAGGTTCCATTCTCCTTCCGATTGTTGTTGCAGGGGAGCGAACACAGGTCCTCCCTACCTAGTGTAGTCTCAGTCACCACTACACCAACAACCAATTGGTGTAGTGGTGATTGGGACTAAACTTGGTATGGAGGACACGTGTTATAAAATATTATATTATATACATATACTTTTTTATATTAAAAAAAATTATATTATATACACATACTATTATAGTTAAAAGTATTATTACGTATAAAATAACATAAATTATTGCACATGATTGTTGAATATCTAGTATAGTACATGAGAAATGCACGATTTTTAAATCAAAATGTTAGTTTTTCTAAAAAAAAATCATAAGTAATAGTATTGTTATTACAAATATTCCAATTTAAAACACGAGTAATAGTTATAATATATTTTATGTCTGTTCCTTTTCCGTCAAATGTCTAATTTAATTTAACTTTTATCCTTCTTGTTTAGATTGGTTATTGGTTCTTTTTTTTTTTTTTTTTTTTTTTTTTTTTTTTTTTTTTATGCAAGAAAAACAAAAGGTCATTGTTAAAGACATTGTATAGAAAATGAAAGGCCGATTAAAATTAAATTTATGTTCAAGATTATGTATTTTTTTTCCAAGACAACATTTCGGCTCAGCATTTAGTATTTGTCAAAGAGTACAAGTTGTACGTACAACAAACGATAAAAATAATTTTTACACTATTTTGTATCTTTATCAGAAACTTTTGTATTCATTCGATTACTTGAATTGAATTTAGGGTAACTTGTAGACTATTTTGGGTAACTTTTATCAATAAAGCATAAATAACTTTCATTCATTACAGGGTAGATTTTATAATAGGTGCACAATATTTTATTGTACATCTGATTATTTTTAAATATTTGTATTGATTTCATAATTGGCGTCAAACTAAATTTTATCGATTTTATTTAATTTTCATAAAAAAAATATTAGTCTTTCAAAATACGAAATATTTGTTTATGCCACTTTAATCATATTGCTTCAAATTAGTTATTAATCATTATCTTGACTATAAATAAAGATTGGAAAGACTTTATGGATTATTTGTAGTATTGGAAAGTATATATTTATTATAAAAAAATAAATCAATATTTATGTTAGGAAATCATGAAAATCTTATGCATGTATAAAAACTTGCTTTTATTGTTTGAAGTTTAACAAATTAGTTATTATACTCTAAATTGAATACAAATAAAGATTGGAAAGACGTAATGGATTATTTGTAGTATTGGAAAGTATATATTTTATTATTAAAAATTAAATCAATATTTATGTTAGGAAATCATGAAAATCTTATGCATGTATAGAAACTTGCTTTTATTGTTTGAAGTTTAACAAAAATAACTATGCTTGAATATGTAAACAATAATTATATCTTTATATATAAGATAAGTCAATGAGAGAGTGACATTTGTCATCCTCACATTGAGGCGCTTGTCTTTTAGTATAAATGTATAATATATAGATGTCACACATATTTTCCTAAATTATTTTTTATCAAGATATGTCTTACATAGTGTTCTTGAATTAATTTTGGTCAAAGTGTGTCACATATATTCCGCCTGAATTATTTTTAGTTAAGTTATGTCCCACGTAGTCTTTCTAAGTTAATTTTGGTCAAAGTGTGTCACACATATTCTTCCTTAATTATTTTTGGTCAAGGTATGTCCCACATAGTCTTCCTAAATTATTTAAGTCAAATTGTATCACATATATTCTTCTCGAAATCTTCTATATTAAAAAAATTATTCTTCTTAAATTATTTTGGTCAAGAAATGTCCCACATAGTCTTCCTAAATTAATTTTGGTCAAAGTATGTCGCATAATTTTCCCCGAATTGAGTTTATGCTAGTTCACAAGTTGTTCCCATTTTCCTAGGACATAAACGAAAACTGATTTTGGCAGTGGCACTCAATGTTAGAAAAACAAATATTCCCCACGTTTTACACTAATTGAACAGTTTTATTAAAACTTTAACTAGTATTACAGTAATATATTAAGATTAATTCACAATATTTTATTTATTAATTATACTATTACCTTTATTTCTATTCAGTTGTTACATTTTGACTTTGGTATTCAATGTTAAAATTTTTGACTATATAAAAATGCATTATTATAAAAATCAAAACCATATCATGTGGGTTGTTGTTGAATTTGTTTTAAAATAAATTTGATAAATATCAACTTATTTGTAAGAATTTTTACTCAAATCATATTGTATATATGTAGTCAAAAATGTGCATTGAGGACCGTGAAAGTCAAGCTGTAACAATAATAAAAGGACGAAGGGAGTAACAATTTTTTAAAAGAGGGA